TGGGTCATCCTGTCATATTTTTTCATAGTTTGTTCAGGTTGTATATCAGGGTTTAGGTTTAAGACCAGAGGAATCCATCTACGTGGAGTAAATCACAAGCAGAGCATTCTCAACTAGCATTGGTTTATCCAATCAAAATCTATGACATACCAAAAACATCTTCAAACTGAAATGTTACCATATTTTTAGAATCTTGGTCACAAGAATCTAAAAAGAAACCATAAGAAACAATGCATGTTTGAAATGGAAAATGTCTCCATTTGCAGGGTGATTATGATCTAATGTGATGATAATTCTCAATAATTTACTTGCTACTTGTTCAAACCAGTAAATGTGATAACCTTTATCTGTAAAGAACATTGGACATGTCTAAATGTTTCTGTAAAATGTGTTAACTGTAAACATTGTTAATACACTATTAATCGAATTGTATCTTCAGATAAATATGATTTAGGATGGAGGAACCTGAACATCCTATTACACGTTTAAATTTTTATGAGGGTACTGCTTTTTTGGGAACGTAAATTATCTTAATGTAATAATCAACATCAAAAACATCTGTGGTTTTTCAGATTATTAAAAAAAAACCTTGGTGTACTAAAATGTTCAGGTTCCTCCATCCTAAATCCTACTTATCTGAAGATGCAAGCGAGCTGATCAGAGTCATCAAACTTCATTTTTACCTAAGAAATAGAATCCTTGTATCTAATACCCTAGAATCAACATACTACATGTAAAACATATGACAGGATGACCCATAATGTAACTACCGGCTACTGGCGCGGCGGTCAGAATGCTCGAATATTTATTTTGACCTCAGAAATGAATTCAAAAAAGGCAAGAACCTTAGAGATATAGAGAAAATTTAAGTTCAAAAACTTTATAGCACGTCGTGCCAAAATGATAGTGTTATAGGTAATTTTTTTAAACGTTTATGTATTTGTCTTTTTTCCATGGCTATTTCTAAGTCAAATAAGGTTTGAAACAAAGCAGAAGTAAAAAAGTTGATTTCAATTTTATTTTCATTACAATTAAAAAAATTATTTTTGAAATATTCTAAATTATTTTTTTATTATGAAATTTACGATGAAGTGAGGAAGATTGATAAAGTACACAATAGTTTCATAAATAATAAAGTTCAATTTGTTTATTTACATTATCTCTAAAAAGAATAATTAAGTACTCCAACGTGAAGCCGGTTTTTATGATAAAAAAAAACAAGATTCATATTTTCTATAATTTATCATAATGATAACATACAGAGAGAACCAAAAAACCCTGGAAGAGTAAGACGACGGAAGGTTTCAAATTGAAACTCTAAAAAGTCCTATGGATAAATAACACAGCAATGTTGCGTTATAATTAGACATCCAATAAGTAATAACTTACTTGTGATATTATTTGCTTTGTAAATTCCAAGGACTTAAAAAATGATCTATTTGAGTTAAGGGATGAGGGCAAAGCTCACGCATACAAAACAAAAAAAACTATATCAGTAAACCTGTTTCCAGTTTCAACCACAAAAACTTTTAATTTTTGCAAATGTTTACACTATAAAGACACCATTGTTTTCCAAAAGATATTAAAAGACGTGTGAGAATTATTGTTTTTTTTCTTTTTTTTTATATAATTTTCTAGAAATATCTGAGATCTTTTTCTTTTATTTCTTTCTCAACTTCTGATTCTTAAAAGTTTCATTGTAATTCCCAGTAACTAGGTTATACCAGAGCAATCGATCCTTTGTGTGTCTGTATGTCTGGGTGTGTGTCTGTTATAGTTAGCATACCCCCCTTCCCCTTTCGCACCCTCCCCCCCACCCACACATCCTCCACATTATTCTCCACTGTAGACTCTCCGCTTTGCATAGTGGTACATAACTTGTCAAAGGGCTTATACATAGTGGTACATAACTTGTCACAGAGAGCTTATACATAGTGGTACATAACTTGTCACAGAGCTTATACATAGTGTTACATAACTTGTCAGTGCTTATACATAGTGTTACATAACTTGTCAGTGCTTATACATAGTGTTACATAACTTGTCAGTGCTTATACGTACATAGTGGTAAATAACTTGACAATGCTTAAGCATAGAGTTACATAACTTAACATAACTTACATAACATAAGTTGTTTATGACTAGTTAGTGCGTACCAAAAGTGGTACATAACTTGTCATTGATTATACATTGCTGTACATAACTAGTCAGTGCTTATATAGTGTGTTCCATAACTTGTTACAGTTTTTATGCATAGTGGTACATAACTTGCCAGTGCTTTTACATCAATTTTTAGTTTTTATACAGAGCGTCTCTGGAAAAAGTGTGTTTAAGCTTTTCAGCTATACTAAACATCGCTAAAATGTGTTAAAAGATTTGTCTAGTATGTACAAATAATAACCACAAATTGCGGGGTCGTCGACAAAAATCGCTCCTCTAAAATACCGTTTTAACCTTCAAACAGGGACCTAATATTCGAAAATGTGCTCTGTCACTTTTCAAACGTCAAGTGGGTCAAAACGCAATTAATATATTCGGAAATAGGATCGAGCACATTTTCGAATTTTAGGCCTAATTTTAAAGGTTAAATCGTCATTTCAGAAAGAAAAGAAGTTCATCGATGATTTTTTCTTTTCTTTTTGAAGATAAACATTTTGGGCTAATAACAAGTTTAATTTTCCATAAAACAATCTTTTTATATTTGAAAATCTAAATTAATGAAATTGAATCTTCTCATAGTTTCTATTGATATCAAATTAATTTTAGTTTTAGAATTAAACTTCATATTCCATTCATTAGATTTTGATTTAAATCTTGATATTCCATTCATTAATTTAGATTGATTTTAACTTTGTTAAATTAATTTCAACTAGGTTTAGTGCAACAAGAAGAGGCGCAACTAGAAGGAGGGCAGGGGCGGGGGCTTTAATTCCTTTGAAAATATTCATAGATGATAAAAACTGTAATTTACATGACAAAAAAATAATGATCATGAAACAAATTTTTTTTCAAAAATATTTTCATTTCATCCTTAAAAACTCTATAAAATTTACAAAATTTCGGTTCTTCTCAAAGTATGAAAAAGTTAGACTTGATTATGTTGCATATTTGTTTTCTGCAGTGCACCGGAAAATGTAAAATGCATTCTTACATGTCTTTTTAGTAATTGGATATTGGGGGGTTTTTACTTTTAGCAAACTCACTCTATTATTGCCTTGTTTCTTCCTCCGGAATTTCTTTTATTCCCATTCACCATAGATTAATTAAATTTCATTAATTTTGCAAATAGTTGTTTAAAACAAAAGCTAAAAGAAAGTGCTTAAATATTTAGTCTTAAACATTGAAGAAACTTTTTATAGCAGTCTGTGTCTGGTTCTTTGTGTCCAAATAAGACAAATATATATTTATATTTTAACAATGAAAAAAAATTTTTTGCAATTGTGTTATATCGCTTTAAACCGAAGAAAAGTTGGAATATTGAACACTTTGCTTTGCTTTGAAATGTAAATAACAGTTTATGATATTTTTCTCTTTATTTGCAAGAATCAATGCTGTTCGTCTCTGATTGGTAACAAAGTGAAAACAAATAACTTAAATCTTCTTCAATAAAAAAAATGAAACCCAGGATTGTCTGGCAGTTTAATAAAATTCAACCCGCTCACCTTTGAATTGTAAGCTAAGTTAATAATATGTCCTTAGATTGCCCCTAGATCTGCTGAGTTTAGATTGCCCCTAGATCTGCTGAGTTTATGCCCCTAGATCTGCTGAGTTTAGATTGCCCCTAGATCTGCTGAGTTTAAATTGCCCCTAGATCTGCTGAGTTTAGATTGCCCCTAGATCTGCTGAGTTTAGATTGCCCCTAAATCTGTTGAGTTTAGATTGCCCCTCGATCTGCTGAGTTTAAATCGCCCCTAGATCTACTGAGTTTAGATTGCCCCTAGATCTTCTGAGTTTAGATTGCCCCTAGATCTGCTGAGTTTAGATTGCCCCTAGATCTGCTAAGTATAGATTGCCCCTAGATCTGCTGAGTTTAGATTGCCCCTAGATCTGCTAAGTTTAGATTGCCCCTAGATCTGCTGAGTTTAGATTGCCCCTAGATCTGCTGAGTTTAGATTGCCCCTAGATCTGCTAAGTTTAAATTGCCCCTAGATCTGAGTTTAGATTGCCCCTAGATCTGTTGAGTTTAGATTGCCCCTAGATCTGCTGAGTTTAGATTGCCCATAGATCTGCTGAGTTTAGATTGCCCCTAGATCTGCTAAGTTTAAATTGCCCCTAGATCTGCTGAGTTTAGATTGCCCCTAGATCTGTTGAGTTTAGATTGCCCCTAGATCTGATGAGTTTAGATTGCCCCTAGAACTGCTGATTTTAAGGGCAAATCGGTCAAGGGTTTCATGAGTTATGATCAGACATACAAACATAACAAACATAGATTACTACTTTGAATATGTTAATACATATTAACCTATAGCATAGAAAAAGTACATTTTGTAAAGTACTAAATCCAATACCAATAATTAATTAGTCTTTCAACTAATTTGGCCTATATTCCTTACTTGTCCTACATCTTTTTTTGTCCTGCTTTTTATTAGTCCAACTTCGCATTTGTCCTTCCTACGCCTAATTATCTCACACCTAATTTATCCTTCACCTCACTAAATTAAACCCACACGTAATTTACCCTATTTATAAACTGTCTTTCACCTAATTAGTCCTACACCTATTTAGTCATAAACCTCATTTGTCCTACACCTAATTAGTAATATGACCTAATTAGTCATAAACCTTATTTGTCCTACACCTAATTAGTTATATCACCTAATTAGTCATAAACCTCATTTGTCCAACACCTAAATAGTCATATCACCTAATTTTAGTCATAAACCTCATTTATCCACCATTGGGGGATCTTTTCGTTTATTTTTTATATTTTAATATCACCTCATTGTTTCCAACACCTGATTAGTCCTGTATACATATACATGGGTCCTGGATCATTATAAAATGCCTTTTTTATTTTCAGAAAGTATGTTTAAGAATGCTTAGTCTTGTGAATAAGACGGAACTTCATCCATTCTATTTTAATGAATGTTATTCTAACAACATGAGCTTAAATGTGTTTATATAGTAGGCTGTATATATATACTGATATATATACTGATAATATATATTTCAAATTCCAAATCTATCTCTACTCTGCGAACACCCCAATTCAGGTAAGCAGCAATAAAAGGGATATATTTAAAGTTTAACTCTATATTTTAAACCTTTAAACTTTAACTTTAAAAAGAACGAAGGGGGTTAGAATCTAAGTATATTGACTGTTATGCAGAGTTAACCACAGTCGACATAAAACTTAAAATATGACGATTGCAAGGTTAGTTTTCTGCCTTGTATATTGTATTTTAATAGCCTATTTAGTGACCTGGCAATGAAGAACAGTATAAAATCTGTACAGTTGTCTCTAAAGTCCGATCCTTTGTGGGTAACCCTGTACATAAAAGTCCTTAGAATAATTAGGTATGAATGAATTGACACAAAATATTCCTATAAGGTTAAGTCACATTTTATTTCCAAGTAAAAAATCAAAGCAACATAGTACAGACCCGAGACTTAAAAACATGTGCAAAAATGATTCATTATAATTTGCTAAAATCTTTTCTATTTCCATTTCAATATTCTACAAATAACTTTAAAATTGTCGAGAAACTTCTTAAACTGTATATAAAAAGCCAAGCAGCGTTTCCCCCTTACATTCCTATTTAAGTATTTAAATTCTTGAAATTATAATTTTCTCTTTGAGAAAAAATGCTTAACAGCTTTAAAGCTTTAACAAAGGAACTGAGTTTTTGTCACAAACTCAGATTTTCTAAACCCAATATCTGCAACTGGATAGTGCAAAACTTTGATATTTCAAACTCAAATTACTTGATCTACCAGAATTCATAGTTTGAAATATCTAAGGTCTACGACATAATAAAGAAATTACCGTGTTTAAAATTTGTATGGTTAGTTTATTATTTGCTTTAATATCCAGGACCATACTTTATTTTAGCAGTTTAATATTTACATTTTGTAAAGTTCTGTCAACTTATCCTTTTATTTAAGGTTAGACCCTTTTAATAATGAATTCACACAATACCTATTAAACTATCTTAAAAGCACAAAAAAAGCTGATTCTAAAAATAGATTAATTTTCTTAAAATATTTATGTTCAAATTTAAAATGAGTGTCTTCCTATTTTTTTAGGATGACTCATATTTTATTGCAATAAAAAAGATCTAGATATTCTAAAAAACTATATTGATTTCAATCTAATGTAGGTAGGGATGGGCAGTTTTTCCTGTTTTTTGAAAAATGACTAATTAATCGTTTATTTAACAATGAAACCAAATGAAAATGTAAAGATCGCTTTTAAAACGTATACTACAGGTTATCAAAAATAGTTTCAACATGAAGTAAAGTTAGTTTAAAAAAAAGTCTTAAATATCTAAAAAAAAAAACCTAAAACTATCGTATAGTTTCAACATGAAGTATAGTTTGTTTAAAAAAAGACTTAAATATTTAAAAAAAACCTAAAACTATCGTATAGTTCCAACATGAAGTATAGTTAGTTTAAAAAAAAGACTTAAATATTTTTTTTTAAAAACCTAAAACTATCGTATAGTTTCAACATGAAGTATAGTTTGTTTTAAAAAAAAGTTTTTAATATTATAAAAAACTAAAAACTATTGTTTCATTATACTTTTTGAAAACGACGTCCATCCGTCGATATGGAACATCCGGGCCTTTACGGTGGTTTATATCAATATAATGATGGTTTATATCAATATAATGATGGTTTATATCAATATAATGATGACAACTTTCGATGTCAATTTTGACTTAAATTAAGCTTTAAACAGTATAAAATACACAAAACAGGGAAATAAAGAGACGCTGACAATTAATAAAAAAGCTTCTCCTTATTTCCTTGTCAGCTTGTAATTCAAAAAAAGCTTGTTAACAATTAAAACTTAAATAAAAAAAGTCGTCTTCATTATATTGATATAATTTCCTACTACGTACTAAAATTATAAATTTTAATGTAAAAAATTTAAAATTTCCCTAAACTTGTTTTCCTAAGCAGTTGGGGAAGCACACCCCCTACTGTTGTTGAAAACAACTTTACAGCGTTATTAACTTTTAAATTCATATTCTTAAACAATGTTTCACTAAACTAGGGAAAGTTCAAGATACGTTTTGATAATATAGCTTAAACTAAAAATGGAATTTTTTGCATTCAGGACATTTTCAGTCAGTAGCACTAAGCACCAACTGAAAGTCTAAATTAAAACCTTAAGTAAATCTTAATTTGTTTAGAACTTTGATATACAAACTTTAGGAACAGAGATATTTTTAAGATGTTGTCATACAATTTACAAATAATCAAAAAATTCATTTTATAGTATACAAAAATAATACATGATAAGAAAATATCAAAATCCTGAAAATTAATTTCTTTTAAACAAAACAGCCCTCTTTGAAAAAGAATACTTTGTATTGCTTCTAGATATATTTAAAAGTTTCCAAGCCACAAAAGAATTTGAAGAAAATGCTTCTAATTGTATTTTGTTTCACTTGTACTGACACATTCACATCAATTCACATCAATTTAATCAGCCAACTAGAATACAATTTAGGTTGTACAGTACGAAACTGCAGAGCCCAAAATTTAAAAGAGTATCGTTGAACGAAACTCTCGAGTTTCCTTTTTGGTGTCTTAACATTTTGTAGATTTTGATTTAAGAGATTCGAAAAAAATGGAGAATATGAAAAAACTAAATAAAAAAATGTTTCATAACAAAAATATTGATATCCACAAAACTGTACGGTATGGTGAGCGGGGGAAGGCAGGGGGCCATGAGCCACCACTATTTCCCCTTCCGTGCCACATATTAGTTTTTTTCTCTTCGGGCAGCCATGAGCCACCACTATTTCCCCTTCAGGACCACCACATTTAACTCTTCCGGGCAAAACTACTTTTTTAAATGGTATATTTAGGGCCTTTAAAGTGTGATTTTTAAAAATCTAGCCGCGTCACGCAAAAAAGCACAACTCAAACCATTTTTTCAATTCTATTTAAGATTAATACATTGTGTGTTGAATTCTTAAACTGTTTTACAATTAAATTTTTGACAAATTTGACGAGTATTGCATCTTGAAAAGTCTAATGATTATTGGTTAATCAGTGATTTTAAGATGGATTTAGTATATGAGTCACTAATTGAATAATCATTAGCCTTTGTGATATTTCAAGATGCAATAACCAGTCAAATTTGTCAAAAATTTCATTGTAAAACAGTTTAAGAATTCAAAAAAAGTAGTTTTTCCCGAAAGTGTCAAATGTGGTGGTACGGAAGGGTAAATAGTGGTGGCTCATGGCTGCAGGAAGAGAAAAAAGCAAATATGTGGCACAGAAGAGGAAATAGTGGTGGCTCATGGCCACCTGCCTTCCCCCGCTCGAATGGTAAGGTGTTTGGGTGGGGGAGGTATTTTTGAGGTATGGTTCAATAAATGCTAGTTGGACAACGTACAGTATTTTACAATTGTATTAGTTTGCGTACTGCAGGGTTAAAGGTTAATTAGATCATTATCTATCTTCTATTCATATACTTTCCTTGCCTGAGTGTTTGTGTATCTGTTTGTATATTTGTGTATCTGTTTGTGTATTTGTATGTCTTGGTGTTTGTCCGTTTGTATCCAATAAACTTCAAAACGGTTGAACAGATCGGGCCCAAATTTTGTGTGGGAATTCACATGACCCAAGGGAAGGTTTATGAATAATCAGATTTTTCAAAAAATGCATGAAGTTGGTTGATTTATTCTGTTTTCAGGCAGGATGTTTAGTGCCACCACAGCTGGAACCCATGCAACTTTTCATTACCTTCGACCAGACCAACATAGGTCAGTTTATTTATGCTGCTTTCTAATACCTTCGACCAGAACAACATAGGTCAGATTATATATGCTACTTTTCACTACTTTAGACCAGACCAACATAGGTCAGATTATATATGCTGCTTTTTAATACCTTAGACCAGACCAACATAGGTCAGATTATATATGCTGCTTTTTAATACCTTCGACCAGACCAACATAGGTCAGATTATATATGCTGCTTTTTAATACCTTAGACCAGACCAACATAGGTCAGTTTATATATGCTATTTTTCTCTACCTTCAACAAGATCAGAAAAGTTCAGTTTACTTTTCACTACCTTTGGCTAGACCAACATAGGTCAGTTTATTAATGCTACTTTTTACTACTTTCAGCCATACCAATATAGTTCAGTTTATATATGCTACTTTTTACTATCTTTCAGCCTGATCAATATAGGTCAGTTTATATATGCTAAAACTTATTACTAATTTGGCCTTGTCAATATAGGTCAGTTTATATAATGCTACTTTTAAATACCTTTAAACAGTCTAACAAAGGTTAATTTATAATTGCTACTTTCTCTTCTTAGGAACAGTATGTAATAAGAAGTAATAAGCAAAATTCTCATAGATTTTTGAGCGAAAGCAGTAGCGAGGGCTGGGCACGTTCCGACTATTTTAAAATTGTTCCAGAATGAGGGGCTGCTAGATCGTTCCGGTCTCGTTTATTCTTTTTCAAATCATTCCATCCACGTTCTGGTCCGTTCTTTTTTCGTGTTCTTTACAGTCAATGCACGGTCCATCCCGTTCCATTTCCTTCTTGGTGTTTTTACAGTCGAAAGCGGTTCCATCCCAAGTGTCAATAAATTATTTATGTAATTTTCTTAAGTGGACTCATCAGAAACTCCCTCTCAAAACTGTGGTGTGAATAATAGAGATGGGGTGAATAATAGAGATGGAAACGTTTCTTAAAAAATATCTATTTTTATTACATAAATAATGAGATCAAATCAAAATCTACACTGAAGACAGAATTGATTAATGCTTTTTTTATTGAAACTTTTTTAGTTAAGGGCAAAAGTGAGATTTTTATACGATGTAGTTATGCTTAAATGTGTAATTTCAAGCGACCCTCAATTTATAGAGTGGCATGTCCGATGTTTCTGAAGCAATTTAAATGCTCGAGTCACTTTTGCAGAATAACCACAAATGAAAATAATCATCTTTCAAAATAGGAAACATGGATATTTAATGCAATACTTGATCAGACAAAGCTTACAGGGGTATTGTTGTGAATCAGAATTGAAATTATATCTGCAGTCACTTTAAACCTCTCAATTGATTTTACACTAATTAAACTGCTTTTAAAGGGAGTGGCCGGCTATGTCAGGTAATTGAACTGAGTATGTAGTGTTGTCGACAACTTCTTTAGGATTCATTTGAGACATATTTCACTTTTTAAAGATCTGTAAATCCTGAATTTGAGCACAAATTCGACGTTCAAAACTCCTGATTTGGGGGTGGATACGCTTTCAGAATTATTAAATAACGACAACGAAAAATAAAGTAAAAATTATACAGTAATCTAATTAGATGGCTAGGAACATATTTCACAAAAGAAATTTGTCAATAAATCAATGCTAAAATCGATTATTTCGTTTTCATTATTATATTGAATGTCTAATTTTCTTTGAATTTATTCGCAGATTTCTTCAAATTCTTTAAATGTCGTCTTTTCAATAATAGTTATAGAAAATCTGCGAACATCTTTGTGAATAACGAGAAACTAGAACAATGAGATAATAGAAACTAATAGTTGAGCAAGATTACTTATTTTCAATGATAAGATTAATTTTTATTTTCTCAAAATGTTCCTAAACATGACATCTGTAGTTTATTGTAGAATATTTTTACATTTTATGTCGTCGTTAATTAATAATTTAAAAAAACTAATTCTGAAAGCGTATCCACCCCCAAATCAGGAGTTTTGAACGTTGAATTTGCGCTCAAACTCAGGATTTACAGACTTTTAAAAAGTGAAATATGTCTCAAATGAATCCTAAAGAAGTTTTCCACAACACTGCGTCCTCAGTTCAACTATGTACCTTACATAGTCGGTCACTCCCTTTAAGGTTTGGGAACTTAGAAGAAATGAAAAAAGAAATTTATAAAATGATTTTGAAAAAAATGTAGAGTTTTTTTTTAATAATCTTCAGATGTAATATTAAATTAGCCCCCCCCCCTCCACGCGTAGGGGGGCCCGTGCACCCAGGCTCCGTTCCTAGCGACAAGAAGGCGTTCCTCATTTTAACGTTCTTTTCAACCAATTTCCGTTCGTTCCACATTCGTTTTTTTAATAATCGTTCCAATATCTTAAAGAATGGCGTCGTATGTGTTAGCTCTTTTTTTCGTAACGACGGGATCGTTCTTGATAATAGTTCGTTGTCGTGAAATAACGATCGTTCCCCAGGAACGACGCACAGCCCTATTTACAACCTTTTGAAAACGGTGAAATGCCACAAAGCCTTTGTATCTATATGTTAGAGTCATTATCTGAATTTAAAAGTTTAGTTTTTTGTAATGATTATTGATTTAATGAAGAAGAAATTATGGTTCAAGCTTTTATCTGAGTAACATTCATCTACACATTTTTAGAAGTAATTTAGACAGTTAATAGTTTTCTTCTAGGACACTTCAAATCCTTTCTTTTAGTGTATTTTCTTGAATTCAGAGATATAAAGCTACAGAAGGGGGGGGATTAATCTTAATTAGTGTTGTACAAATCTACAGTGATAACCATGAAACTGTAGATTAGAAAGACGACATTAATGTAATTCTGAAGTACATTTGATGCTGTTACAAAGATAATTGTTTTACTACAGTGAAACCCTTAATAACGAATACATCGAAAGAATTCATCAAATGTCGTATTCTTCACTTTCTGATAATGGAATGTTGCAGATATTTAGTTTTTTAATTAAATAATTATATGGAACTCTTTAAAATGTTCCTGCATATTTATGGCTATTTTTTTATTTTCGCAAATACTGAAATTTATATCATATAGTATACAACTCATTGAAAAATTGTCAAGACGACATTGATAAATTCTTCCGATGTATTCGTTATTAAGGGTTTCCCTGTAGTAAGTTATTTAATCACTTTTGGGTGAAATGGGTGTGTTTACACAGTGCACAACATAATCGACGTGCCTTATGTTCATTGGCCTGTTTAAAGTAATGACTTGAGTCTAAAGTCGTCTTCCTATTCCAGAATGTTCTGGATATCACTGTCATTTAAAATGTGACTAATAAAAAGTACATGTATGCTTTATATATTCATAATAGGATAATACTAAATTCGAAACATTTAGGGAGGGAGGAGGCATGAAGAAGTTTGGAAGTAAACATAGTTTACATGAAATGTTTAGGGAGGGAGGAGGCATGAAGAAGTATGAAAGTAAACATAGTTTACATGAAATGTTTAGGGAGGGGGGAGGCATGAAGAAGTATGGAAGTAAACATAGTTTACATGAAATGGAAAAATACGATGTCAATCATCATCATCACCATCATCATCATCATTCAAAGGTAATGATGATCCTCCATAATAGTAACAAAAGATATCAATTAATTAAGCATCGGGTTCAGAAATGTTTCCTCAACCAACTAAAAAATCCGTTAATTTTGTAAATGTTAACGAAGAAAATAAAAACGAAAAACGGTCTGTTTTTAAGAAAAACTATCGTTTTTAAAAAAAGGTTTTTATTTTTTAAAACGATACTTTTTTATTTTAAAACGAAAAACTATCATTTTTGAAAACGACCATTTTAAAAAAGCTATAGCTTTTAAAAACTAACGTTTTTAAAAAATATCGTGTCGATTTCATTTTTTCTTCGTCATTTTATAAACGATCGTTTTTCAAAAAAGTGAAAACGATCCAACCCTTTTCATCGTGAATTATTATGGTTAAAATTGCAATACATATATACACAGATAAAGGTTTTGATTTTACTTTGCAATGATTGACTCTCGACTTTTTAACCCAAAAATAGATCATTAGTCACAAAGAAAAGACGTTTATTGAACATAAAAAAATATCTTCCATAATTTAGATCGTTTACGAACGGCAATATGATTAAGATCTGAAAAAAACGAACAGCTTCTTGATGAGCTGTCTGTTTCGCTAATTTATCTTAAGAACAATTTTAAAAAGTTTGAAGGTATCTTGTCCCACTCATTTAACCCTATCTTTGCTAGGGTACTTGAAAACCAGGATATGCTGGGGGGGGGGGGTCAATTTGACCCCCCCTCTAAATCCCATGTTTGATGTCCAAATATGACAAATGATACATCATCGGAAAGCACTTGTGCTCTACTTTTAGAATCTGCAAAAAACTTGCAAATTTGCAAAAATTGAATTTTTTATCGCAAAATCCAGTCATATTGTAAAAATGTTTGCAAACAAAATTTGTCCAAAAAATAAAAATTATACATTTTTGAAAAGCCCTTGACCATGCCATTTTAAATATGCAAAAATTTTTGCAAAAATTTTAAATAACCTGATTTTTAATCAAGAAAAACTAAAAAAGTGCAAATTTCCTGTGACAGGTTATTTGCAAAAAATTTTCAATTTTTTTCGCATAACTTGTGCAATTCGTTTCCTTATGTCAAAGGCTTTCCAAAAAGCTAAATTTTATCAAAATCTGAAAAGCGGAAGTGGGTCAAAACAAAGATTTAGTTTGTTACAGGAAAAAGCAGTCATGTAGGCAGTGTGCCTGAGGACTCAGGCAGTTAGTATTAAAGCCCGGTTTTAGGCCTAAAGGGAGGGCTTTGCGTATTTAGGAAAAGTCAGACAATTTCAACAGCCTCAGACCAATACTTTTTGAGTTATTTAAAAAAAACTAAAGGGGGGCGGTCAAATTGACCCACCCCCAACAGGAATAGGGTTAAAGGTATTTCTTTCTGAAGTTCTTTTATCTGACATTTATAATTCTTGACTAGCAATGACTAACTTAATCATCAATACTTTGACGTCATTTCAAATAAACCTCTATTTATATAGCGGTTTTTTTTAAATTCACAACAGTACCCATTATACTCGTGTCTTATTATCTACAGCGGAGAATTATATTTTTCTTACGAACAACAGTTTTCACTTCTACATTTTCTTTAATTGCCTAGCAGATGGATGATAACTTCGTCGCCATTGCACTTACTCGTTTTATATATTTTTAGACTGATTTGCGAGATAGAGTTCATCTGGATTTAGAAGGGAAACCATGTGAAAATACTGGTAATTTCAAAACTATATTAAAAAATTATTAATGTGTTCAAAAATCAGCCCCCCCCCCCCCCCCCNCCCCCCCCCCCTCCCGAATTTATTGCTAACTACAGGATGAGCCTAAAAAAATTTAATATTGAATTCTTGCATATAATTAATAAACCAATTTTTGGTATTCTCATTTTTGACAAATATGTATGAATTTTTTGATTTATGCCACCCGACCTAATTTAAACAAAATAGAAATGCAACATTTTTTTACTTGTGTTACAACTTTCTAAGTGTTAGCCTTAAGGTAACATACATATTTACACGCAATTATATATATTCTGCGGCCCTGTTTCATTTATATGATGATAAATGACGATTTGCTTCAAAATTTACGGAAGTGTTTATTTTTGAACTGTTTAATGTTATTCGTATTTAGAATCTAGAATAAACATATTATATAATTTATTTGTTTGTTTGTTTGTTTGTATACAATAAACGTCGAAATTTTTTTGTGAGACCTCAAATGACCCCATCCGATTTTTTTAATCCACGAAAAAATCGAAAAATCCGCGAAATCTTTTTTATTGTTTGATCGTTTAAGAAGAGAATTTGCCGCAGATAGAGCAATGATTAAAAGTTAAAATCGAACATGCATGGAAGCCAATTGTAGTAGTTTAGTATACATTAACAGAGTGTTTCTTTAAACTGTTTTAATTAAGTTTCAAGTATAATTGCCCATAAATATGCAAGGCACTAAGAGTCAACAGGTTTAAAGGCACTATTTTAGTTTAGGATTTCAAACTTTTTTTTGAGATAATCTACCTTTTTAAGTCGCTGAAGCTGAAGGGGTAACCTTGATTTACCACAGCCTACGCGTATCCCTTTTCTCTGGTTTCCGAAGGGGTGGGAAAGCACTTGCCCCTTGATATTGACAAAAGAAAATGTACAGGGAAAACACTGTTTAATTGTAAATATGTCGGGATTTCTATATATTTAAGAACATGCCTAACTTTTAAAATGTATATTTTATAAAATAGTTTTTATATAGAAATTGGCAAACATCTCAGATTTTTTCGCGAGACCAATTTGACTTTAAATATGAAAGGGTAGTTGAAAATATCAATTATTTTGTATTTCTAGGTTGCTCTCTGAGTAGATTGAAGCCCTACTGTCTGATGGGAGTTTTTATTTCCATTATTATTGGATTCATTGTTCTCATTGTGTTCGTTAGCATGGGAGGACTACAAACCTAGTATTAGGGAGGATAATTATCATAATTATTATTTTTTATTATTATTAATATTATTATTATTATTATTATTATTATTATTATTATTATTATTATTATTATTATTATTAACAATTATTACTAAATATTCTCAATAAAAACTGATTGTCCTCTTTTAGGTATCTCTTTTTTTTTCTTTTTTTTGCTTCATTTTAGTGGTGAAAATTAATTCTCTTTGAATGATGAATTATTGAACTTTGGATAAAGTCTTCACGTGGAAAATGAGAATTGCTTACGCACAAGTTGATGGTTCAAAACCTTTGATAACAACATACAGAAGAATTCTACTTATAATCAGCAAAATCTTAAAATTTTGATAATTGTATTTTTTTATCTGTCATCATATATTTAAAAAAATGACCGTAAAGAAAATTATTATCTTAGATTTTTCAAATTCTAAACCTCAAATTTTTCTCTCAAAATTTACATTTTGCGGAAAGTCAAAAACGTGTTTTTCTTGCTTTAGATATTTCTCGCTTTGCAAATTATATAATCTCTGCTTAAATTAAATAACGTTTAAAAAATGTTAGGCAGAAAATGTCGAATTTGCATAACTAATTCATGTTTAATGACACGTGCAACTAAAACTTAATTTAAAATGTTTAAATGTATGGGAGATTGCTTGGGGGGGGGGGGGTAGGGGGGGAATGGTTTTTATTTAAACTTCTTTTTCATCTTTCAGCAATGTCGGTAGCAGTAGAGGCAGGCGATTTATAAATTCAATATATGTATACTTTACATGGTGTGCATGGACAGGAAATATATAATAGTACAGGAACTGTTTGTATAATTTCAATATGTACACTTTACATGGTGTACATGGACAGGAAATATATTATAGTACAGAAACTGTTTGTATAATTTCAATATGTGTATACTTTACATGGTGTACATGGGCAGGAAATATATTATAGTAAAGGAACTGTATGTATAATATCAAAATGTACACTTTACATGGTGTACATGGGCAGGAAATATATTATAGTAAAGGAACTGTATGTATAATATCAAAATGTACACTTTACATGGTGTACATGGGCAGGAAATATATTATAGTAAAGGAACTGTATGTATAATATCAATATATGTACACTTTACATGGTGTACATGAGCAGAAAATATATTATAGTAAAGGGACTGTTTGAATAATTTCAATATGTGTATACTTTACGTGGTGTACATGGACAGGAAATATATTATAGTACAGAAACTGTTTGTATAATTTCAATATGGACACTTTACATGGTGTACATGGGCAGGAAATATATTACAGTAAAGGGACTGTTTGTATAATTTCAATATGTACACTTTAAATGGTGTACATGGGCAGAAAATATATTATAGTAAAGGAACTGTTTGTATTATTTTAATATATGTATACTTCACGTGGTGTACATGGGCAGGAAATATATTATAGTAAAGGTACTGTTTGTATAATTTCAATATGTGTATACTTTACATTGTGTTACATGGACAGGAAATAAATTATAGTAAAGGGACTGTTTGTATAATTTTAATATGTGTATACTTTACATGGTGTACATGGACAGGAAATATATTATAGTAAAGGGACTGTTTGTATAATTTCAATATGTACACTTTACATGGTGTACATGGGCAGGAAATATATTACAGTAAAGGGACTGTTTGTATATTAGAAGTATCCCTCTATTTGACAAGTTCAGTGTCTAATTCACATAGTATCTTTGAATGCTTTTTATGATCAAGACAGAATGAGATATCAAAGATATCTCTTGAATAAATTGGTTATTTTCAATTTTAGTTCCTGTTTACAATGACGTGCGGGTTTCTTGCTGTAGAAACTTTAAAGATCATTTCAGAATTAAACACTTTTCAAGCTAGAAAAACGAGAATATCTTCAATTTTATTGATCAGATAAAAGTTTTAGAGGTCGGTATTGCTGTGAATATGACAGGTCCCTCTTTCGATGGAGAGTTGCTTTAATTTATGGAAAAGTCCCTTTAAGTCAAATTAAGTCCCATTAAGTCTCTTTAAGTCCCTTTTAATCCCTTTAAGTTCCTTTAAGTCCCTTTAAGTCTTTTTAAGTCCCTTTAAGAATAAGGAAAAAAAGGGAAGAGGAGGGGCTTAAAAAAACATTTTGATTAATTTAAAAAACAAATTATTTTAACGATTAGTATTTGTCCTCGCTTTCCAAATGCTTACGCTATAGCTTTCAATACAATACGTTATGTTAAATAAAAATTCCAATTTTTTCAACTGCTAGAAAAATATAATCTTGAAATTTTTTTTTGATTTCTCAGAACCAGTTTGGGTTTTTAAAATTCCTATTTTTGGATCGATGTTTTAAAATAATATGAGAAAAAATTTTTTGTGTCATTTTATAAGTTATTTATTTATGTATTTACATGTAGTTTATGTGCTTGTACACAACGTTATAAATTGTAAACTCGCTTTCCATTCTACAATATTTCTACGTCATTAGTCAGGATTCAAATTCATAATTGTTAGAAAAGTATAAATTGAGCTTTCACTTTAAAGAGACTGTTTTCGTTTTTTCAAGTCACCACTTGTTTCTAAAGAGGCATGTCTGATAAATGTAGAATGATATATCTTTGTTTGTGCTTTTGAAAACTAACTATTTTAGATCGTGGTTTTTCTACAAAAGTGACATGCGCTTTTTTCAAGGATACCATTGTGAATCTGGCAAACCCATTTTTTCAAGGATCACTTGACACCTCACTCTGAAAGTTGCATGATCCGAGCCGGCAAAACATGGATTCAGTTCTACTATCCAGTCTGGACTACCCAGTGTAAAGTTGGCCAAGCACGTTTTATGCAACCAACACAGTGTTGAAATTACAACGTCATTTCCTTTAAAAAAAATTAAATAAAATCATCTTTGAGAAATTATATTTGATTGCAACACTTTTTTACCATTTCTATTTTGTAAGTTTATTGTTTTACAACGTTTTCATCAGATTTTGTTCTCTTATGCGTTGCTATTTTTTCAGAAGTCCGAAAATTTAGATTGTTTTTTTTTGAGTCTGATGCAAGGAATTTCCACAAACTCTGATTTTCCCAATATCTTCGCAACAGATCAAAGGTTTAAACCATGAGCTGGTTGTAAAGATATAGGGTTTGGAATATTTGAGTTTGTGGCAAAGACTAAACTTTGTATTGATTAAAGATATTGTTAAAATAAAAATTGTAAAATCTCAAATTGCATGAACCGTGCTAAGTTCTCCTAAAAATTTACTTAATTATATTATTTCCAATGATTTAAAAAAAATATTTCAGTTAAGATATAAACTTTTTTTGTAATACTTTTTATTCCTTTGAGAAACACATAAATTGCATTTATGAAATAAAAAACTAATATTGGATAAACTTTTTGTCTATACGTAACAACTGTTGAAAATAAATGTTAAATGTTTTTTTTTGGAAGAAGAGATTATAAAGTTTCATGTTCATTGTTCTAAATTAAGAATCACAAGGGTGGGTAGTTAACGATCGTAAAAGAAGGGTCGTCGTTAACGAAACAACGAGTTTTATAAAAGCTATAAATTTTAAGTAACGATGTTTTTCCAAAAACGATCGTTTAGTTTTCGATTTTTCGTCGTCTTTTCATAACGAAACGATTGTTTTCAAAATGAAAACGTTAACATCCCTAGGTCAGATCCTTTCGGGTCGGCACGCCTCTTAAAGGTTTCTGTAATAATGAAGTGAGACAAAAACTATATATTTTGTCTGACTTTATTTAACAAATCACGTTTTTGCAAAAATTAATTTTTTTGGTCTAGGTTACATTTTGTTTCTTCATGATATATAAAAAATGGGTATAAAACGTTCGTCTTGAACCACTGAATTCAAAAATGTTAAAATCGTAAAAATCAGAATTATAATGTGAACGAATTACAGACAAAAAACTGATTGAATAATGGACAGGAATTGAGTATTTGCCACAAACTTAAATTTGCTAGTTCCCCTATCTTTGTAGCCTAATACAATAAACATTTTACATTTCAAACTTTGATTAGCCTCCCTTTGTGATCTATCATTTTTTGCAATATTGGTAATAAAATTCAAGATTTTTTTTCTAAATGTCTTATTTCTTCTGCTTCAACCAATCACGAACGCTCAAACTTCTTCATTTAAACAAAATATATTTCTTAACTTGTTACGAAAATGTCGATAAGATACAGAATACAGACACAAGGTTCATGTATTTTGGTAAGCCCTTGAAAAATAAATTTTACAACCTGAGTCACATGTTAACCCTTTTCCTGCTGGGGGGGGGGGGTCAATTTGACCCCCCCTGCAGTTTTTTTTAGATAAATCAAAAAGTATTGGTCTGAGGCTGTTGAACTTTTCTGACTTTTCTTAAATACCCATTGCCCTCCCATTAGGTCTAAAGCCGGACTTTTATACTAACTGTCTGAGTCCCAGGCACACTGCCTGAATGACTACTTTTTCCTGCTGCAAACTAAATCTTTGTTTTGACCCACTTTCAGTTGTAAGATTTTAATAAATTTTAGCTTTTTTGAAAACCAATTACATATGGAAACGGATTGCACAAGTTTTGCAAAGAAATTTTTGCAAATTATTATCAAACAGCGCCCCGGGTCCGGATGGGATTACGCCAAGATTCTGATATATTGTCCCTTCCTCTGTCCATCTAAAGACTGGAAGGACGCAAATGTAACTCCTATCTTTAAAAAAAAGGTGCGAAAAGTAGCACAGATAATTATCGACCCATTTCTTTAACCTCGGTTAACGTATAAAATCACGGAGTGTATCATGAGGGACGAAATGGTTGAACATCTGTTAGAAAACAAACTTATCCAGAATTATCAACATGGTTTTATGCAAAAAAAAGTCCTGCACTACAAACTTATTGGAGTTTTTGGAGAATGTGACAGAAAACCTAGACAGAGGAGTTCATATGTAAAGGCACACAGTATCAATGGACGACTGCTCAAATGGATTGAAAATTGGTTAACTAACCGTTACCAACGCGTTGTACTTAATGGATCTTACTCAGAATGGTCCAAGGTTGAGTCAGGAGTTCCCCAAGGGTCGATTCTTGGACCCTCAGCCTTTGTCATTTTTATAAACGACCTAGATGATTGTATAAAGCAACTGACAATTGTAAACAAGTTTGCCGACGACACAAAACTAAGACATAAGATAGAGTCTGACCAAGACAGGGAAACACTTTAGAGTTGTATAGACAATCTATTAATTTGGGTAGAAGACTGGTGTATGGAGTTTAACGTTAAAAAATGCAAAGTTATGCATGTCGGTAGGAACAACCCAAATTGTGAATACATTATGGCAATGACAGTACTACAGACAGTAAAGCAAAGAAAGAGACATAGGATGGATGGTAAACCAAGACCTTAAACCCTCTCTGCAATGTGCAGAGGCCTCGAGGAGGGCATCTACACATCTTGGTCTAATAACCAGGACATTTCTTTACTGGGACAGATCCACTTTTTTGAGGTTATATACTCAATTTGTCCGCTGCCACTTAGAGTTTGCGGTCCTGGCATGGTCACCCTGGACTGGACAGGATATTGAAATATTAGAGAAAGTGCAGCGCAGGGCGGTCAACCTGATCACTGGTTTAAACGGCAGGGCCTATGAGGAAAAGCTTGATGAACTAGGTTTATTGTCACTGAAGGACAGACGAACCAAACTAGACCTAATCCAAACTTACAAAATTTTGAAGGGAATAGACAGAGTAGATCACGACACTTGGTTCAGTAAGGTTGGAGCTGATGCCACCAGGTTAACCAGGCACACAGCATATCATGACAATCTGATATCAAAAAGATCAAGATCAGATGTCAGGCAAAACTTTTTCTCAAATCGTGTTGTTCCTAAATGGAATAAACTTCCAGTAGAAGTTAAAGAGACAAGAACTTTAAACATATTTCGGACTCTGCTGGACTCTATTGACTGTAAACTGTGCAAGGAGTATTTGAGTATAGAGAGTACTGTGGAGCCCAACCAGGAAGACTGATCAATACTCCGTGATGATCCTAAAGACATCCTCGTCTATGTTCCTACCAGAGCTCTGAGGATAACTTTTCAAGTAACAAGTAAGTAGTTTTTTTAGTTACACATTAGGCTATTTAAAAATTTGCATAAATTTTTGCAAATTTGAAATGGCTTTTCAAAGATGCTTTTTATATCATTTTTGGACATTTTTTGCTATCATTTTTACTGCGTAACTGATTTTTGCTATTTTTTTTGCAGATTCTTAAAGTAGAGAATAAAAGCTTACCAATGATGTATCATTTGTCATATTTGGACATCAAACATGGGATTTAGGGGGGGGGGGTCAAATGGACCTCCCCAGCCTGGTTTTCAAGTACCCCAACCGGGATAGGATTAATATTTGTCAAAAGTACCTTAACCATTGAAGTTATAGTCCAATTTTGGTTAATGAGTTGGTCTGTAAAGATTGGGAAGGGACATGTATAACGCTCCCCTATCTCAACACTAAGGGCAAAATCATGAGGCACGTGGATTTAACGGTTCTGTCAATATTCCAGAAAGCTGTGACTTTCGATCACAATTTGAATCATTAAACATAATTTGTAAGCCTTTTTTATTAAATACTTTTTTGTTTGCATATACATTTTGAATGAAAATGGATAACAAATCCGTAAAGTAAATGATTGTTGAGTTGAAGACCTAAACACGTTTGATTTCAAATAGAAGAAACCGAATGCTGCTCACTCTGGTTAGTCCGGTGTGGGGGGATCATCCCCCCATCAATATTACAAACAATAGCCGAATCGGGAAAGGGTTCAAAAATATATATATTTTTAGAATTTTCATTGTTTATTTCAGACAAGATCTTAAATAGTTTGAATACCAATCTTTAAAGACGGGAAAAGTTAAAGTTAATATAATTATTTTCTGGACCTCTAAAGCCGTACTGTACAGAAAAAACAGTTTTTCATAAAATCCTTCTTGATTAAAAGTTGTACTGCGATAGCGTCAAAAATAAGAAAGTGAGGATCGGGGGGGGGGGGGGGGGGGGGTGGTAGTCGGCGAATACTCCACACCTCCCAGAATTATTTAGGTTGCTGTGTATTGATAAATATAACAACCTTAACCCCCCCCCCCCAAACGTACCACGACCCAATGTCAAACCAAACCAAACCAAACCAAATCACACCAAACCAAACCTAACAAAACCAAACTACTATTCTTAGACAGCTTTCTAATATTTCCCCTGTCTTAAAGTTCGAGGAATTATTTGGTGCTGGAAGTTTTCATTTACTAACCGGAGACATGGATCCAAAAAGCTATGTGACAAATTTGCATCGATTTTCAAGACGTGATTGACTTTAAAATGTCACTAAGTGCCCTGATCTTTGACTTTACCCAACGAGATTATAGCGTATAGAGTGGTTATGTACGCTAATCTTTTATTAACTGTATAGGCCATGAACTATACCGAGAGCGTACTGAATATTTGTTTATTATAAGGAGATTCTGACCTTACCTATAGTAAATCATTATAAGTAAACAGTTGTAAGTGTACAGTACAGATAACTGTGCACACAGGTAGAGAACTATCATCCCCCCTGACTTAACTTAATAAACTCAGGATTTTTTCTAGCCCGAGACATGGATGTTTTAGAAAAAAATGTACTTAAATTAGCACTAAGCTTAAGTTTTTAAGAATTAATTTTTTTTTAAATGAGTTATCAGAGTTGACTCACATTTATAAGTCAATGCATATCTGAAAGTTTTAACTTTGATAAATTTTTTTTTGTTAAGATTAAGGCAAAAAAGAAAATCAACCTTCCTTTGGCTTCTTTGTAGACTCTAATTTCTAAAACAGGGTGTGTCACATTATCTCCTATCAATCGTGGCATATTTCTAAATTGGGATTTACGAGAGTGAATAGCAAAATTAAGTAAAATTAAAAAAAATATGTAAAGCTAACTTAAAATTTGTATGAACAAAATGCAAAGTTTTATGTGTATTTTTGGTGTATTATGTGCACAGAGTAGCATAGAATTTAGTAGTTTAGTACTAAAGGGACTGTAAGCGCAAGTAATCCTTCAGGCAAAGATAGTATACTGCCCAATATACAACGCTACCCTTGCAACCTTAATCTGATCAAAGTTTTGGAAAATAAGGTCGTTTTCCTCTTTAGCAGAGAAACTGCAAATGGTACCCGTTAAGGGTACCCGTTTGAAATTTGACATCACCATTTTTGCATAGAGGGTCACAATAAGATAAATTTCATAAATACAGATTGGACTCCAATGAATAATTATAAGTGTAAAATTTTCTTCTTCCAATGGCAGCGGTCAGAACTTTAAAGTTTTATCTGTCACAAAACTATTGTATTATACTAAACTATTCCCAGATTTGTCCAAACATGTCAACAGATACACAAACAAATATACAAACAAATATATACACACAGATACACAAACAAATATACAAACAAATATATACACACAGATACACAAACAAATATACAAACAAATATATACATACAGATACACAAACAAATATACAAACAAATATATACACACAGATACACAAACAAATATACAAACAAATATATACATCAGATACATAAACAAATATACAAACAAATACATACACACAGATACACAAACAAATATACAAACAAATATATACACACAGATACACAAACAAACACACATCATGATACACAAACAAATACATCTACACCCAGATACACAAACAAATACACATCAAGATACACAAACAAACAAATACATGTACACCAAGATACACAAACAAATACACATCATGATACACAAACAAATACATGAACACACAGATACACAAACAAATACAAAAACAGACAAAAAAGAGATACAGAAACAGATAAACAATTAAATATACAAACATATTTTCAAACAAATATACCCCCCCCCCCCTCACATGAGGTTTATACAAACTAAAGCGTGGGGACTAAAATCTGAAATTAACACTTTTAGAGCTTTTGTACCCTTTGTAAACCAACCACGATGTTCTCTTCATTCATAGTGAATCTCTACATCATCATACTTGATTTTACATCATATTTGATTTTACACCGAGTTTTTAAAATTTTCACAAATATTATTTCATATTTTCATATTTAAAACTGGCATTGCTATGGGCCTTTTAGAGATGCTAAATTTATCAAATGTCTCGTTTTTATTTGATGTTAATATAGGACTCAGTTTGTATAAAAGCCCCGTTTTAGATCTAAAGGAGGCCTATGGGTATTAAGAAAAAGTCATAAATTTCAACAGTCACAGACCAATCCTTTGAGTCATGGGGGGGGGGCAAATTACCCCCCCCCCCCAGCAGGAAAAGGATTAAATCATTAATTGCTCTCTCTCTTTCCAAATTCAATAATTAAACAGAGTGTATTTTCACATCCTGAAATGTACTTTATACCCCGGATCCCATGGCAAGATAAACTTATATAGACCCTTCCTTATATCAACTTTCTATTCATTTTCCTTGAATTAAACAGAGAAAGTGATACAAGACTGTCTTACTGATACAGAAATGTCATAATTAAAGAAAAATGGTATAAATATTATCAATTTTGGAATTTTTAATAGTTAGATAAAGGGGAAAGATTATTTTTTTTTCCTAGCACGGTCAATTGTTTAACAGTTCACCACTGGAATATTTTCATTCAATTTGCTTACTTGTGCAATGGTACTACTTTAATTTAAAACCTATAATATAATTTTAACAGCTTACAGCAGTTCATTTTTTATTGCAAACACTATATAAGAGTTTCTTCTAACAGTGCAAATAACTAGTTTTGTAAACGAAAACTTCAATTTCAAATTTATTTTCATACATAAATAAACCATGTAAAATAATAAGTAAATAGGTTAATAAAACTCCCTCTTAAAGTTTGTTTTGCAGTTATAATACACCATGGCAGAGAATCTTAGCGTTTAGGTGGAGTAACATATTTCGGTGGGGAAATAGGATAATTATGTGGTGGAGTGAGATAATCCTGAGGTGAAGTAACATAATCCTTTGAAGGAGTGATATAATCTTGTGGAGGAGTGACATAATCCTGTGGTGGAGTGACATAATCCTGTGGTGGAGTGACATACTCCTGTTCATATGCAAGAGCTGGAAAATATCTTGAACGAGGAAAATAAGCAGCTGGTCTATAGAGCACAGGAGTAGAGTGGCTTGGAGAATAAGCAGCAGGTGAATATAATCCAAGAGCATAGGTAGCTGGTTCATTGGAATAAGGTCCATCATAGGATTGAACATATGGCTCTGAGAGATAGGAAGATGGTTCATAGGAAGAAGGGGCATATGGAGCTGGTTCATAGGAAGCAGGGGTATGGGGGGCTGGAGTATATGGTTCTGGAACATATGGAACTGGTTCATAGGAAGTAGGGGCATATGGAGCTGGATCATAGGAAGGAGGAGCATAAGGAGTAGGGGCGTAAGGAGCAGGGCCATAAGAGGCAGAGGAATGAGAAGCATGTACAAGAACAGGACCATAAGGCCTAGCCCCTTTACCATACGAGTATTTGTTGTATATCTGCTCGTAGGGACTTGTTGAAACACTTGGAACATATCTTCCATAGCTACCACCTAATCCTCCAGTACCAATAGACCCATAGGGTGGCCTGTAGACCTTAGGATAAGCATTATATCCGCTTATATTTACACTAGAAACATCACGTCTCTTCCTACTGAAACAGAAATTAATTATTATATAATATAATGATTATTATATAATGAAGGATACTTACTATCCCTTTTTAGAAGATCCATATCCTTGGTTGTTTCCATAACCAACAGATCCATATCCTTGGTTGTGTCCATAACCAACAGATCCATATCCTTGATTGTGTCCATAACCAACAGATCCATATCCTTGCTTTTGTCCATAACCAACAGATCCATATCCTTGGTTGTATCCATACCCACCAATGTTATGGTCACCAGTGTTATACCCATATCCAGAATTTCCTCCATAACCATATCCTCCATATCCTTTTGGAATTGTTCCATAACTTCCATATCCTACTGAGGATCCGTATCCATTATATCCACTGTATCCACTTGCCTGTACAAATCAAAGCATTAGTTTAAAACCAATACGCATTAAGCTATACAAACTTTCCCATAGGAAAATGTTATTAAGGTGTAGAAAATGATTACAGTTCAATCAAAACAAGCAGAAAAGCTCAAATTAAAAATGTAATTTTGCCTTTTTTTGAGTTACTAAATATAATTCTCAAAGAAAAAAAAGAAGTTGGGAGAAAATATAGGGTAACCGTCAAAGGTTGAGACTGTAAAAGTGACCTTAAATTCATAAATAATAAGACGGTCCAAAGGTAAAATTAAGTTTTCTGCCTCACATATATTAAACCTATTTGGTATGGGGTTTTTTTTTTGACCCCCTCCCTTTTAGTTTTATTGCGAGTATACAAAAGGTATATTAGCTAGGAAGCTCAAATTTTCTTGCCTCCCCACTTAAGGCTGAAAGCTGGGCTTTTATCCCTACTGTCTGAGTCCTCAGGCAAACTGCCTAAATGCCTTATTTTACCTATACCAGACTAAATCTATATTGTGCAATTTTTGCAGAGAAAGTTTGCACCTTTAAAGGGAATCTGCGCATTCAATTTTTCTTAACACAATTAGGTTTTACGAATTTTGCAGATGTTTAGAATTCGCTGGGTCAAGGGCTTTTAAAAAATGTATAATTTATCAAATTAACGCAATTTTTTGCAAAATCAGGCTACATGAACAAGTTCAAATTGAGAATAAGTAGGTGAAATTCATTTGAGGACGGTATCTCAATTCCAATTGAGGATGAGTAGTAATTGATTTCTAATAAAAGCAAGTAACGGAGTAACGGAATTCTAATTGGGGATTAGTAATGGATTTATAATAAAAGCAAGCAACGGAGTAACGGAATTCTAATTGGATAAGTCACTGAATTCCAAATAAGAATAATTAATTTGGTTCCAATAGAGGATAAGAATTCCAATTAAGGATTTGTAACTGAATTGAAATTGAGGATAAGTAACTGAAATCAAATTGAGGATAAAAAACTGAATTCCAAGTAAGTTTAAGAAAAGGAAATCCAAGTGAAGGTTTTAAATTCTTATTCCGTAGATGATTTCACAAATCCAAGAATGAAGAGAACTTCACAATAAAATAAATAAATTACCTGACAACCAACAACAAGTGCTAACCCAAGAACAAAGTAATGCATGGTTATAAACTTACTCAAACTGCTTTTATTACTATCTAATAAGATACCCAGGTTTTACGTTGTAAACATATATTTGTAAACAAAGAAAATAGTTAAAGTGTACTGCAAGGATAATAAATAAAGTGTACTGCAAGGAATTAAATATTAGTGTACTGCAATAATTTAAAAGTAGCACTAATCTAGCAAGATAAGAGGATCAATTTTTTGCTTTTTTAATATTTTTGAATTTTTTATTATTGAAAGCTGTTTTTTTTATTAAATATGGGGGGGGCTTTAGACATTTTGAAACTTTTCTGTGATTTTCGCTTATTGTTAAAAATAAGATTAAATCAAATGAATTTATCGTTCAGATGGTCCCTTAAACAGTACCCTTAAACAGTACCCTTAAAAGCTTTGTTTCATATCAAGTATGATTTCAATATCAATTTTTGTAATTTTAAAAACAGATTTTTCTTTCATTTGTGGTTTCTCTAGAAAATTCTACTGTAGGAAAACATATATAACCCGAATTTACAACAAGTTATTTATAAAACTATTTGCTTCGTAACAACATGAATTACACTTGTATTGCTATAAAGCCGTCTTCCTATCTCAGAGTTTTGTGGTTATCACTGTATTAGAAGAAAAAGATACATCTCCTCCCCCTGAAAAGTTGAGAAGACTTGTCTTGGGCTCAAATAAATTGATAGTATGTGAATTAAAAAATGTAAAACAACGGATATGGGGCATTTCTTTAAATAAAAGGTAATTTGAAATTACGCTTACAGTCCCATTAATTAGATATGAGCCATCTATTTACATGTAAAGATAATTTGAATTCGGACCAAATTCATCTTCATCATTCAGTTTAGATATAGATCTGTAGATGGATATAGTGGTAAACATATCAACATGTAAATAATATTCATAGTTTTATGTAAACTAGTGCAAATTTCACAAACAAAAAGTAGAAATTCAACAAAATAATATCCCGTTTTTAACTCATGTTTTCAATTTTTGTATTTTTACTGTTAACTTTGTTAATGAATGGATTTCCGAAATTTACTAAGTTATTCATCACGCTGATCGAGTGAGAATTCTCAGATTGAGTTTTTTACTAAATCATCTATTTTTCTTAAAATGTAAACTCTATTTCTAGCTCTATATATTGCATATTAAAGGAACTGTAAGTGTAATTTCATGTAGCCCTTCATCAACCCTCCATGCTAAGATTGCAATGCCCGATTTACAACGGTACCCTTGAAGCTTTTTCTGCTAATAAAGAATGAATTAGACATCAACATTTTTTTTCTTTAAACTGTTTGTTTTCATTTGCGGTTTCTCTACGAATGAGAATTTTGTATTTCTTGTTAATATGAAGCAAAGGAGAAATTCACAGAAATGAACACTGTTGAGTCAGATCATTGACGGTATCTTTCAGATTTTTGATCAGATTTAGGTTTCAAGAGTACCTTTGTAAATCGGCATTGCCAACTAGTACAGGATACCCACAAAGGATGAGACTTAAATGAAGACCAAAATCTGAAGTTGGTAAAATCAGTAATTATTAAGAACTAACAACTGACAGGTCTACAAATGCAAAAATGTAAGAAAACAGATTGCAGGAGTTTTGTACATGAGTTTTATTTGAGAAACTTTTGATAAAGTTTCTTTTCTCTAATGATCGGCGATAACGACTATTAGAATACCGATCGATTGCCATCCTCCCCTATCCATGGAGATCGATGAGACGATCAAAAGTGGAAGTATTTTAGCTCCGGCCATATTTTTTACGGAATTTTCGCTTAAAATGTGGTTCTGTTACATGCGATAATCTTAATCTCATGGTATTCTTCAAAAATGTCGTCCTAAATATAAAGTATAGCATTTTCGAAATGATTTTTTAAAACATTTTTGATATTCTTCCTGAAGGAAAAATATTAGCGTCTTTCAAAAATATTTACATGCGATATTCTTCCTCATATTACAAATTATCATGTCTCTCTAAAGATGTGTCTATAACATATGCGACTTATTTTACTATTCTTAAAAATGTCCTAAATATAATTTAGAGAATTCTCGGAATGTTTTTTATAAGCATTTTCGATACATGTCACCCTGATCCAACTGTAACATGTTATATTCACTGATGAACTGTTTATTATTTTCTACTCCAATTTAACAATAATTAATTCTTTTTAAAAAATATTTAAAACCTATTTCTGTAACCCATCTAATGTTATATATATTTAATATTGATTATGTAATACAATTGTAAACATTTAAAGAAACGGAAAATATAAATATATAGTTTTAGAAAAGTTTTGTACACGTGTTTGTAATGTTTCATTTCTTCTAAAATGCCAAAGGATAATTTAAGTGTCTTTGATTCAATGCAATATTTACACTTTTAAATGTATAAATACGTATTTGCAAAGAAAGGGGCTCTTGAGTCGGTGGTGGTAGAGGGGGGGATGATCTCATTCTCATCTTGGACAGTGCAATGAAAACATTGTAATATTAGTGAATACATTTTTCTGTAAACGCCTGTTCTTGTGTACACTGTACAGTTCTACTTAATATGTACTGTGTACAATCGTACTGCCATTATATGTGTACTTTGTGCTGAACAACAAGTGATACAAAATATCAGTGAATAATCTACGTGAAATATAAGTTTAAAAGTGAGTAAAAGTATTTAATTTACCATGCAGTGGTTTGGATATCATAATACTACTTGTGCAACTGTTGATATTCAGCTGGTCTGGATTGTAGCCTGGTAACTATATTTTAAATTTATTTCTAATTCTAGATTATTTAAAACGGATTTTGGGCCTGTCCTAGAGAACGATTTTTGGACCCCCCCCCCCCACGTCCCTTTATCAATTTTGTACATGACCACTTATTTTTCAGCAAAATTATTTTTATTTATTTTTCTATTATTTCATTGTTAGGTTAGGTCAAGACATATTTCTAGGCTGAGCGCTGCGGCTAGAACAGTCTAGGGGGCTGAGCGCTGCGTCTAGGACAGACTCGGGGGCCGAGCGCCGCGGCTAGGACAGACAAAATTGATAGGGGGGGGGAGGGTCCAAAAATCGTTCTCTAGGAAACCATCCGGATTTTTAATTGAAATTGTATAGGTTTTAAGTTAGCCTTCATTTGTATAGATTTGTCTCATTCACAACGGTACTCCTTAGTCTTTATTTAAGCAGTAATATAAAAGGGCCTGATTCTGGAATTAATGTTAAATTTTGACCTTATTCTGAAATGTATGCTTCTTAAATCCGCAAGCCACTGTTATCGAGAAACCACAAAAACCACAATTACAATAATAAAAAATAAAAAAGTTCCAATGGGTTTGAATGTTTAAAGGGTTTAAAGGGTACCGTTGCAAATATTCTAAATGAAGTTTCTAGAAATTACTTCTCATTTCCAAAAGTATCAAATAAACCAGAACTTTTGTTGATTTTTTGGAACATGGCCGGGTAGATTAGAATGTTCGGAAATAGCCTATTAAACTTGACCTATAGCCGGCCGCTTATTGATTCCCGGGCATTTCCCGGGGGATATCTTTTAATCCAGGTGTTTGAATATTTATAGAAACCCTCTCCTACCTCTTCATAAACATTCTTTATATAAATACCTGTCAAGGTATCCCTTGGGGTTTAAATAACCAAGACAGATTGATATCCACCCCCCATCTCTCCCAAGTGTCTCCACCCCCCCCCCCCATATTACCCTAACCGTCTATTTTCAACAATAAAGATCGATGATGGTTTCTAGCTGTGACTAGAGCCTACATATTTATTATAGCTAACTGGGGCATATACAGGGGGGGGGTTATACCTTTCATTAAAAAAAATATGATTTCCAGGTGGGATTTAGCTGCCAACGGGCGCTGACCTCCCCCCTGAACAATTTTGTTTACGCCCCTGATAGCAGACCTATCATTACAGGAGTTTATTTTCTAACATGAAATGAAACCGGGTTGTAAAACTATAATCCAAAAAACGGCGGTCAAAATTGGTGAAGGTATTAGAGATTGTTTTTAGTGCGGGGGGGGGGTTTAATGTAGGGTCATTAGTGCAAAAATTCCCCACCCTTGTCGATAAACATAAAATGGTCAATCATCATTATCTACAATTATTAAGTTAATTAAATGATAACGTAAATTTAAAACCTTGTTTTAAATTCAGAAAGGGATTGCCCACGCACAGGCGCGCAATTAGGTTGGGGGCAGCCCCCCCCCCTTAGCCTGATTAAGGGGGGGGCTTCCCCCCAAAGAAAGCTTTCCCTCCTCTTTAGGGAGGGCAAGAAGTTCGATTTCATTTTCAATATAAGCTCGAGATTTTTTTTATTTTGCCCCTTTCTTAAAAAATGCCCCTAGATTGGATTTTTAAATTATACTCACACATTCTTATTCAAAATGCCCCACCAGACATAAATTTGCCCCCTGTTTTAGAATGCCACCAAATATTTATAATTTGCATCTAAATTTAATTTATTTTTATCCCTAAAAGTTTTATAAATACACCCAACTTTAAGGTAATTACTCCAAAATAAAGAATTTTTACGCCAAACAAAAAAATAAACCTTTGATTAAAAAAATAACTTTATATACTTTGAAAATGCCCTTAGATAATAAAATTTTACCTCAAATAAATATTTAAGATACACAAATTTGTCAAAATGAAAAAAGCCCCCTTCATCAAAATTTGTCCCGAAAACAAAGATTGATGATTTCCCCTAGCTGAAAAATAAAATTGCCCCACAAAAATTGAATTTTCAGGTTAACCCTATCTCTGCTGGGGTACTTGAAAACCAGGATATGCTGGGGACCCCCCAGCAGGAATAGGGTTAAGTATAATACACATTTTTCTTGCCCCCCTTAGAAATATTTTAAGGGGGGGGGCTATAAATATGATTATAGGGGTAAACAAACATTGTAAGAAACAATGAATAAATTTACAGAAATAGTCAGATAAACAACGTTATTTTCCCAATTTTTTATTCGATTAATGTTACAAAGGTATCGTTGTGAATCAGGTATTGCTTTCTTTGCATGGTGCTGTAGAGCGTCAGTTAAAATAATGCCTACAGTCCTTTAGTGATTTGTTTTAATTTTTTTATTTTATTTCTAGTTGGCTGCTCGTATATATCGTCTTCTTGTGGTTCATCTTAACATCAAGGAATTCTAAGAAACCCCATAAACATTCACTTATATCATAACATTTTTTACATAACTTAAACCTCACGAAGTATAAATTGTTTCATAGATATTTCTTGTAATTCAAATTTGTTACAGTGAATTCCAGATATATGAATACATAAAAAGATTTTTTTGTAATGTCATATTACATATTTAAGATCAAATGCCTCGGAAAAATGAGTTTAATATTAATATATGAATTGCGTTCATATTTCAGGGCTATTAATTTACCTGGAATTAAAATAAAAAAGGAAGTTTCTTTAGAATATCAAAAAACTTATGACGGTCTATGTATTCATATATCTGGGATTCACTGTATCATATTGATTCTGTGGAAACTTTATTTAGATAATAATCGAGATTTAAAAATAGTTTGGTATTTTATTCTTGAATTGATGACAGGAGGAAAAAGAAGCAAACTTTTTGGTTGGGAAACCTAACTCTGTTCTCAGGAGCTTTATTATCAATAGGTAAATATTATTTAGTTAAAGGGACTGTAGGCATAATTTTAAGGGACCTAACATTTTAGAGTCATCATGTCAAATTTACAACGGTATCATTCCGAACCTTCAAATGAGATAACAAAAAGGAGGATATGTTCTCCTCCTATATTGTTGATGTCCTGTCTTGTTATTACAGCGTGATGTCACTTATCTAAAAAACACTCAATTGAAATTCTGCAATTGAAAACTGTAAACTTTACGCGTAAATTATAATTTACACGTAAAGCTTACTTAAAATGTATCTGTAGCTTACTTTAAGCAATTAAGTGACATGTTTTTTTTCTATGAAATGTTCTATATTTTTACTTTGCTTCGCTTTTCTGTGTGTTTGTATTTAATAAACGTAAAACGGCTGAACCGAGCAGATCCAAAATGTTGGTGGCAAGTGACATTCACATGGACCCAGGTCGAAGTTGAAAAAAGGCCAACATTCATGTTTTTGTCAATCCAGAAAAATCTGCGATAAAAAAACTTGCAAACCTGGATCAAATTTATTACATCCATGATCCATGTAAGTAAGAAAAACTGGAATTGATATGTATAAAACCACTTTTAAATACTATTCATTATTACTCAGAAAAAAAGTTTAAGGGTACTGTATTTAATAGAGGGGGACTGGTTATTAATATATTTATATATTATTCTTTACAAAAATATTTCTTAAAGAAGCTGTGTTATATATATAAAGTTGAAAATACCTTACTCCATCAAGTTCTCTCAATGTGTAATAGTACAGAGGCCCCATAGTAATCTAGATAAATTACGTTGTACATTGGTTTGGAATTGATAGTTTACGAGATCGTGTCCGGTTTCGACATTTTCAGTAAATTGAAATTGAGTTGTACCTGGATAGATACAGGTTTGATACTACCTTATGGAGTAGGGCATTTACTACAAAGGTTCCTGAATAATCTGTATCTATACTTTCAAGGTACAATTCGAGCTGACACTCTGTTCTCTAACATGAGACAAAGGATCTTGTTCAACTATTTATAAAGTAATGATGGGTATTTTATAGTTTATGGACCGAAAGGTTTTCTAAGAATTAACTAACATTGTTAGGATACGGATAACGTATTACGAAAATAGATTTATATACAAGATAAACAATTAATGGACAAATTACATATATTTGCAACCTGATAGTTTAAACCTTTGAGATTTTAAACTCGAGCAGAAACGGATCTAAAAAAACATAGTTTGAGTTATCAAAGGTCCACGAGTTACGACATTCGGTTGCAAAAAAAAGATTAGAAAATCTGAGTTTGTGGTGAGAACTCAGTTCCTTTGACTACATGATGATCGAAAACCTTGTTCAATTTTCTCATCTTTTCGCACCGAGAGTCCCATATCCTATTGGATTATCTCCAAGCTTTAACGCCAAAATACTCATATAATACTCTAAAAACCTAGTAAGCAAACTTTACGTTGCCCCTGTACAGTTGTTTTTAAATGATTCGTATCTTCTTAAACTTTCTGATTAGTTCCAATATCTCCCGAAAATCGCAAATTGGAACCATGAACGATCCAATATGATATGGGACACCCTGTATTATTTCCAGGTATAGCGGATATAAATTGGATGACCGGATATGGAAACCTTCTAGGGAGCTATTCAAGGTGGACCAAACTTATTCACGGACATGAAGGTATATTTCTAAACGTTTTACCCGTCATGTTTGTCTTTTGTCAGTGTCATCAGTCATTGTCTTTGTATGATGTCCTTTATTCTATACTTATGGACAAGACTAATTCACGAGCATGAAGGTATATTTTTAAACTTTTTAACCGTCATGTTTGTCTTTTGTCAGTGTCATCAGTCATTGTCTTTGTATGATTTCCTTTGTTCTATATTTATGGACAAGACTAATTCACGAGCATGAAGATATTTTTAAATTTGTTGTCAATTTTGTTGACAATTTGCCTTTTGCTTTACATCATTTTTGCATAAAGACGTAAAATTATAAATTGTTTAATGCCAATTCCAGTCTTTTAGCAATGTCCTGTGTTCTTTTTGCAAATTGTTGTCAAGCTTTTGTTAGTTTTAGTTTTCCTTTTGCTTTAGTCTTTGTCTTAATATTTAACAAATTAATGGTGACTGTAGATCTAACAACAAAAATTCACAACGCTAACCTTTTTTAAAATTACAAAAAAATCTTCACTTTTTCTTGAGTGAAAATTGTTTAATTCTTACAACAACTGTGGCCGAATTTAAAGAATTTGAGCGGCGGTTTAAATTTAAGCCGCGGCTTAATTATGGTTGGTTCCATATCAAATGTTTCAAGATTTAAGCCGGCGCTAAATTTAAACCGGGTTTTGGCGGATTTTGTCGAATTTAAACCGCGGCTCAAATTCTCTAAATTCCATCTCGGTTTAGAGAACTGCAATAGAAAAAAGTCGACTTTATGACAGAAAAATAGGGATAAATCCATGCCCATTTTACTCAGACAAATATTTAAAGAAAACTGTTGTGAATCCATCACGTTATTCTGTAATTATAGGGTTACAGCAAATTACGTCTTCAGGCCGTTTAAATAAGTAATTGTACTTTAGATATGCTTGTATGGTGAATATTTGTATCTATATATATGCTTGCAGTAAATATATGTACCTAGATATGCTTGTATGGTAAATATTTGTATCTTTAGATATGCTTGCAGTAAATATATGTACCTAGATGTGCTGGTATAGTGAATATTTGTATCTAAAGATATGCTTGCAGTAAATATATGTACCTAGATATGCTTGTATGATGAATATTTGTATCTATAGATATGTTGCAGTAAATATATGTGTCTAGATATGCTTGTATGATAAATATTTGTATCTAAAGATATGCTTGCAGTAAATATATGTGCCTAGATATGCTTGTATAGTGAATATTTGTATCTATAGATATGCGTGCAGTAAATATATGTGCTTAGATATGTTTGTATAGTGAATATTTGTATCTATAGATATGCTTGCAGTAAATATATTTACCTAGATATGCTTGTATGATGAATATTTCTATCTATTGATATGCTTGCAGTAAATATATGTAACTAGATATGCTTGTATCCACCGATCTAACTGTTCATATTGGCCTCCGTCAGATTAACATAACCCTGCAGTCCAGAGGAGAAGGTTGGTAAAGTCGTCTTTTTCTACAATAGGTAGTAATTCTAAGAAATAATATTCTTTTCTTCTTTTACTTTGCTTCGGAATGGGATTTTTTGATAAAAAATATTTTCAATTTTCCTAGATTAAAAATCGCTTTTGAAGATTTTGCATATTATTTTGAATATGCTGTGATAAGGGCTTTTCAAAAATGTATCATATTTCGCGCACTTTTTGCTTCAAAACTTAAAATTGCAATAAATGTTTGAAATTTTGCAAATTTTAAAACAAATTTTGCAGATCATCAAAGTAGAGCCAAAGGAGGTAAAAAAAGGTAGCATACCTTTTTTAATTTTCGGTTTTCAAGTACCCTTTTTAAAGGATTTTTTATAAAAGGTCAGATAAATTTTCACATTTTACTCCCAAACCCTGGGAGCAACTCCAAAATCCTGGGAGCACTCCAAAACTCCAATTCCATAACCCTGAGAGTAGCCACCCCTTCCTCGTCCAAAGGCTTTCCAAAAATGTATTAAGTGATATACATTTTTATCACAATAAGGAATTAGTCTTAGAGGTGAGGGGGGGGGGTTCTCAGGGACCCCCCCTCTTCCGTCAGCCTGTACATGGTTAACTTTATTTATATGAAACGTCTTTGAAAAAATGTAATAACATGGAATACTGGACAAAATATTGGAAAAAAGTAGCAAATCAAATCAAGGGATCCCAGTTTCAATTTTAGTAGTAAGTTGGGCTTAGTTTCGAGAAAATAATGGAATGATGTGGATTTACTAAAAAGTAAGATTTCCAACTCAAGTGCGAGCCATTTGATTCCACGCAATTCCAAGTAATTTTAAGCAATTCTGGGATACCCACGCAATTTCGCGGGACGAAATTCTAATTGGAAACCCTCCAAAAAAAATGACCATGACAATGATTGTTAGATATTTATTTTAGGAATGGAGTTTAGCTATAATGAGATCATAGTTCTAGTTCCTAAACTAGTTCAAGAAAAAAGTCAGCTGTTAGAGGCAGGATTATAAACTTAATTCTTTTATATCCATGGTTAAATTATTTCCGTTACTTATCCTCTCATTTTTGACTTATTCCGTTAACAGTTTTCAAAACCAATTATATTTTCCCGTGTCCGAATTTAATGAATTTAAGCCGAGTCTCAAATTCCTCCAAAACCGGGTTCAATTGAGCACCAGCTTAAATCCTTGAAAAAGCCTTGGCTTAAATTTAAGCCGAGGCTCGAATTCTTTAATTTCGGCTTCCGGCTGGTCTGACAAGTGAAATAAATAGGTTTTACAATTTGTCACCCAATGTTCCTATTGGCCCCTTAACTGCTGAAGCCAGAAATTTTGTGAAAGTTTGATCTCGATATCCAATAAAGGATTTTTAAATAAAATTGAGAATCAACGCAATTAAAGTTACCTCCGTTTCTAGGTTTATTTTAATTTATTGTTGTTGCAAGGTTTTGGATTTTTATTTGTAAAATTCTTACTTTTTACAATAATCACACTTGAGTAAATCTTGATATTACATAAAAGTAAAAGATAAACAACCCGACTCAATATAGCATTTCACCTGAATCAAAGGCCAAAATTGCAAATTTAAAATTTAAAATAATTTTTTGTTCTATGAAGAATTAGGTTGGATTTTAGGCTTTAGGACGTGGTCTCCCAAACCCTATCTTGTCTCTAATGGAATTCTTTCTGGAGAATAAAAGCAGTCGAACACTGGAGGAGGTATTGATGGCACTGTGTTTAGGAATTTCAAAAGTCGGGTCGACCAATTTTCAACTTGTCCTATTCTCTTATATCAACATTCTGTAAAACTCCAAATTTTGGAAACGTTCATGGATACTGTATTCGAAAAGTCGCAACTTGAAGACTCAGTTTCTCATTACGAAATGATCATTTTTTATTTTATTTTTATTCAAAGTGAAGCAGGACAGAGTAAGACTGAAAACAAGTTGATAAAAGTTCATCATTATTTATAAAAAGAGTGAAAATAGATATCAAATGTTAAAAATGCCTGGCTATTACCTTATTTAGAGATGAGCTGAGTTTTTTTTTGTGGGCTCATTTTTTTCATTGAAGGTTTTTTTACATCGAGGTTCAAAAGTGTAAATCATGTGAACTCTAAATTTCAAAAGAAAAAAATTGCATATATTCAACAACATTTTTTTTTGCAAAAGTTAGCGATTTTTTTCAGCAAAAAAATAGAGATTTGTTCTGCAAAATTTAGCGATTTTTTCTTCAACATTTAAAGTGTGTACTCTTTTAAACATGATCGAACAATAACTTTTTTTAATTATTCGTTTAGGTTGGTTATTACAGTTCCTATTTCCTGCATGCTGCCCTAGTGGTCTGGTTTATCAATCAGGGAAAATATATTTTGCTAATTTTTTTTTGTCAAGTCATTACTTGTTAATCCCCCCCCCTCTCCTTGAAAATCCCCATATGTTCTGTATGTAAAAGGATTAAAAAACTTGCTCTTTGATATAAAATTTTTCTTTTTTTCTCCAGATCATCAAAAATAATTTTTGAAATTTAACTTTACAGTGTCTCTATAATTATTTAGAACATTTTTGTCTTATTTTCTAAATTTACTAGTTTTTTGGTTTCTTTGCCTGTTTTTATTTCATTCAAAAATATCATTTGATCTAAAATAAGCATTCATATAATTATTTTTAATAGTTAATAACAGATTAATTTTTCATTTTATTTACTTAAACTTTTTTTTTCGAGTTTTAACACTGCTCGACAGCTTGAATTGTATTTGATGATCAAACTTCTTTTTCTTGATAAGTGTTTGCAGATTTCTTTCCATATTCCATATATTCATTAACTGACAAACAAAATTATAAAAATTGTTCTTAGATAGTTTTCCTGATGGTTCCAGAACTATCTGCTAAAGTTTCCTTCATTAATGCAATTGTTATTGCTTTAACTGTCTTCTTCTATGCTTTCCTACTGGAATCTACAACCTTTTGTATTCATGTTGAAGGTAATTTTTCATGGTTAACCCTATGCCTGCGTGGAGGGGGGGTATCTTAACTTTACCGACCCCCCCCCCTGTCCTTCAGGGGTTCAGAAGCAAAGAAGACGGTAGTTGTTAACAGGTTGAATGGAAAATGTTTACTAAAAAGTTGCCCCCGAAAAAGAAAAAAATTTTAAACAAAAATAAATTTTTGAAGAAAAAAATTCTTATTTTATCAGCCTATCACTACCAGGCTACCCATGATGTCCACAAAAATACTTCAGCCCATTCGATCCAGCCGTTTGGCCGGCCATGGGGAACATATATACGAAGGTCTTGTTTTATTATAAAGATAAGAATAGAAGGTTCGTCATGTTACTTTCTCAGGACTAGATTAATTCTTATATAAATATCACAAAACTTCAGGATTAAAACACTTACTTCTCAAACTCAAATTAAAGTTACCATAGTGGATATTAAGGTTAATGCTGTGTATATTAGCGCTGTTCCAACTTTTAATTTGCAACAATTAAAATGCTTGATTGGCTAAAAATAGGATTAAATAATCATTTCTCACAGCATTGTCATGGTTTTTTTTCATATTTATATTTTTCAGGGCGAAAAGTGGAGGTCACTCTGGGCAGATCAATCTATTTTGTGATGGTATCCGCATTCTTACAGACTATTCCTCAAGTTCTAGGTAAGCATGATTGGATATTTTTAAGATTTAAAACAAACCAGAAGCCGAATTTAAGAATTTGAGCCGTGTCTAAAATATGAGACGTGGCCCACACATGGATATCTTTATGGTCTAGGTTTAACAAAAAGGTTCTAAAGTAACTATAGAAAACTAATAAAATTAACTATTTCACTTGATTGATTGCCATGTTTTGGGAACCCTAAAGATTTGAAATTGAGAATTTTGAATTTATTATCTGCATTTGTCCAAATATATTTTATACATGTGTACATATTAATGAAAGTCTGTACAAAAGATTACTACTTTATAATAGACATGTATGTTTAGTTTTGCTGGGAGCCTATCCTAGAACCTCATTTGAAGTGGATTTTGGTACTCCTTGGGATAAGGATGCCATTGCTGAGATGTCGAAGCAGAGGCTTCAATCCACTTCCACTATGCGTGCAAACGGTTCCCCGGGTTCAAACAGTACACAAAGTACAAATGCTAGCACTAGCACAAAAAGTGATATTTTAATGAATTTAACCCCTATAAACCAACCGAGGGAAGATCTCGACAATGACATGTTTGAGTCAAGGAAAAATCTACCTTTTTCTTCCCTATTGACTCCGATAAAGGTTAGACCAGATAATCCTATTGGAGGAGCTGTTGAATGCACTGGAGTTAAAGTTAAACATCCAACTACTGAAACCTGTGACAAGTCCTTGAAAAAAACTCTTTACACTCCTAAACAGGTTTGCTCCAAAAAGCACAAAAAAACTAGCTGTGATAAAAGAGAATCCTGTAAGAAAGATGCTCATGGTTGTGACAATCCGAGCTTTGTTGACACAGAAATCCCAAGATTAACCAGGAACTGCTCAGCTTCAGAAATATCTCCCCGCATGGCTCACCGTTCCCTCCGGAGGTTCTCTCTTTCTCATATTGAGGATGAAACCTCAACGTCCAACAAGAAGAAAATTTCAGCCTCTGAATCCCTAAGAAGACAGGCCCTTTTGAAGATGCCTCATCCTGCAACCGTAATCCAGCAGTCATTAAGTAATAGGTCTTCTGCTTGGAAAGGACACCTGGAGTCATTGACGACTAAACATGATGATGGATCAATAAATGAGATTACATCTGGGGATACAGCTAGCATAGGATCATTAAACGAGCTGAAATGCGGTGATAAGACTAACATAGGATCAACTAATGAGCTAAGAAGCAGTGATAAGGCTAACACAGGATCATTAAATAAGCTGATTCGTCGTGAAAAGATCAGCATAGGATCAATCAATGAGTTAAGAGGCGGTGATGTGGATAGCACAGGATCATTAAATGAGCTGATTCGTGGTGATAAGGTCAGAATAGGCTCAATTAATGAGCTAAAACGAGATGCTGTGGCTCGCAAAGGATCCATTAATGAGTTAAAAGGCCGGGATATAGCTAGCATAGACTCATTAAATGAGTTGATTAGTGGTGATGGCGCTAGCGTAGGATCCATTAAAAAGCTGCAACGAGGGGATTTTGCTAGCATAGGATCTATCAATGAGCTGAAACGCAGTGATTTATCGGGCTTAGGATCATCAAGTACGTTTTATCAAGGCGATGATATGATTAGCAAAGAAACTACTGAGCTAGATCCTCGGTTCAAACGGTTTAAATATCCTTCTGTATTGTCTGATGTCTTTGGAAATGAGCTTCCTGAAACACATTCAAATACAACTGTAGAACCTGATACAGAAGGAATGTGTAGCAAAGAATCTAATGAAACCGACACCTCACGTATTGGAGTTAAGCGACTCAGATTTGCCTCAATTTCTGGAAGCTCTTTGCCCCCGGAGGATGAAACAAGGATATCTAGGAATAGATCTGTTTCAATCTCAACTGTGATTTCATGCTTGAATTCACCCAAGAAAATACTGAAAAGTGACTCAAGCAAAGTTGCAATCAAGTCCTATGATGAATTGGATTTTTATCAAAAGATTTAAAACAGAACATGTGTCGATTAGTATTTATTTACAATATTCAATGTTTTTATGCCTTTCCTGTAGTGTTGTGTTAGGCTTCTTCTAGCTCACATAGACACATTTCTAGTTACACAATTTTAAGAATGAGCCAACCAGCCTGCTGGGTAAAGTGTCAAATCTTTAATATTACGAACGTTATTTTAAAATAAAGATTTTAACCATTACTTAGCTCAGTTTTCATATCTAGCGACTAGACTGAACCTCATCAAACTATTATTTAAACTTAAGCTACCAAAGGGATAATGGACTGTAGCTGGTTCATTTCCTTTACCAATCTAATTGAAGTCTTGAGCGCACCAAACCTAATGATTGTATTAGAAAATTAATAGAGTCTTTTTTATGTCTAGTGGGGTGAAAGGGTTGATGAGCCAGTTGTGAGCCATGAAGTGAGCTGCCGACCTCGGTAGTGTTAAATGCGATGTATTTTTCGATCCAATCCTGTCCGCTATTAGGACTATTTCCTAGATTCTATTAAATTATATTTATTGTTTAGATAGACGTATTTATATAAATTATCAGTTTAAGGATTAAAATCCATATGAAATGAGAGAGATGGGGATTAAATAATTGATGCAAATTGATAGTTAAGGACTGAATAATTTATGTTAAGTGAAAAATATCTTTGAAGGGTATTTCATTTTAAGTCTAATAATGTTTGATTTTTCTGAACCATCCTACCTATTTTACATTTTCAATTTGGACAAGGTAGGTTCTTTGATGTGCAGGTTTTGGTGCGTTGTGTAACCCATCCCTTGGACATTTCTTAAATAAAGTTTAACTTTCTTAAAAATACAATTTACCCTTTTTGAAAATATTAAAGCATCAAAAGTCAAGTTCATAGAAACAATATCGAGACAAAAAAATATTTATAATTTCTAACTTTTATTTTCCAATCCCTATAACTTTGCAACTCGATATTGTAAACATTATGTGGCAAAGGATTATAAAAGTTTATGGCAAAATCTCAATTCCTTTGTAGTTATAAATATCAAAGGTCTACACTTTCAGATTAGAAAATCTGAGTAGAGGTAAGTGATAAGATGTTTATTTAACCCTATCAAGATGGGGGGGGGGGGGGGGTCTACCGTCCCTCTGTCGTTGTTTCTAAATTTAAAAACGGCAGACATTCTCACGTTAAAACTTCTTCACCTTTTTTACTTCAAAGTTGTGAACAAATTTTGCGTAACAAATTTTTTTTGATGCATAGGGAAGGGTGGAATGTTGGACAGTCAAAAGGCGGGTCAGTGATTGAAGAAAATCAGAAAAGGTTAATAACTTTTTTATCAATCAAGCTACAGGCCTAAAATTTATATATTTAGAAATCCCTTGAAAAATGGATTTAATAACATGGGTTTCATCACATATTAAAAAGTAAAAATATTTATTTTTGATATTTTTCCGATGTACTTTTTGAACTTTTTTTAAAATCCTACCTTGCATTCTAATTATTGAAGATAAAGGTCTAATTGTGTTTAATGAGCAGGCCTTGAAAAGTTGGACTACGGACATGTTTCACACTCCCCTATACTCAACTCCAAGGGCAAAATTATTGGGTGGGGGGGGGGTAATACACCCCCACCCCAATCAACATAAGAAAAAAAATAGCCCAATCGGGATACGATTAAAAGGTTAAAAGTTAGTTTTTCTACAAGATCTAGAAGAAGATTATTGTTAATGTTGGAATAGGATGAAAACTGGAGGATTTTTTAGCTGAGACCCGCAATAATTCTCCCATTCTTTGCTTCTTTGATACTTCAACTCAATTTCCAGGATTCTTGCTTTTTTAATGGCCGCCATAATCCAGAATTCAGATTTATTGTTTTATAATTTTTTTCTAACTAGATTTGTTTAACCCCTTTAGATGATGAAGGAACATTCTCATTGCACATGTTACAATTATCAAAATACTTAAAAATAGCAAAAACCCTTTTTAATATTTTAGGCAACGGGTAAAAAATAACTTTTTATGGAAAGGTTGATTATCTAAACTAAACATTGACAGGGAAACACACAAAAAAGGGAAATTCATAAAATCGAAAGGTCCACTGCAGGTTCGATGGCCGGTGTCAAACCTTTGTATTAAAATGAAGAAAAAAAACATTTTTTTTATCCAACTTGATAGACTCTAAATGTGGTCCTCTACACGGATCACAAAGAAAATTTAGGACCAGGGTTTTCTGAAAAACCGAAAATGACTTGCACCAGATGCCTAAAATGTTCACAAATTGCTCAAAGTGGGCCACATTACCCAAAGAACCTGTTGCATCCAAAAAATATTGCTTAAATCCCTTCGTGTGGCACCCTACCTCATTTTTTTCTTTCATGTACCATAATTTTTGTAAATTTTTAAAACCTGCAGAGAACCTCAAAATATTAACTTGTTTTGACAATATGAATGATATCACTCTTTCTTTAAATGAACACGGAAATTTGACATGAAGAGACTAAGCAATGATTCTCAAATTAAAAGTGCTCACAATGGATATCGAAGTCAAGTGATTGAGGTTATGAGTATCCAACTCAAAACCACCTAGCTTAAAGAACATAATTTCCAATAAATCTGTACTGTGGAGTTCTAATATTTCCAATAAATCTGTACTGTGGAGTTCTAATATTTCCAATAAATCTGTACTGAGGAGTTTTATTATTTCCAATAAATCTGTACTGTGGAGTTCTAATATTTCCAATAAATCTGTACTGAGGAGTTTTATTATTTCCAATAAATCTGTACCGTGGAGTTCTAATATTTCCAATAAATCTGTACTGTGGAGTTCTAATATTTCTGTAATTTTGCGGATTTTCTGTATTCTATTATTCCATAGTGCTGGGCTAAGCAATATTCGATAACAAAGGAAATTATTTGAAAGTTTTGATTTCTTTTCCATTGATACGAAATGAGGAAGAAATTGCTTCAGCTACACAGGAACAGGGTAACAAGTTGACATTTTTATTTCTTAAAGAGGCAGGCACCATCAGCAAACATGGGATTCAAGACAGGACTTTAAAGGAAATAATAATATTAATATTAAATAAGAGGGTAGTGCAATAAAATACAGGACGGTGAAGGTTTACAATGGTTAAAAAATAAATGACTAGTCCACCCTTCAAGTAGAGGTTTATATAGACAAACAAGAACCATCTATGTCGTCTTTTATCCTCGATGGTTTCGTAGATACATTTACAAACGGTTACGTTGCAACGTTTGGGGATGATAAGATATATTAAATTTACATATGTTCAAAAATGCGCTAAACAAATATTTTTTTGCGAACATTGCAAGAAAGGAACATGTCTTCTGTAAATCAGAATTCAAACGCATACAGTGAAAATCAGGAAATTCTATATTTGGAAGACGACATTTTGGCTCAAATAATGACTGTATCGCCAAAATACGCACAAAATACAAGAAAAACCTGGTCAATTCTTCAGGACAATATTGTTATTAGCCATATACACTTTTTTAAATGATTCTTTTTTCTGATTAGTCTTTTAAATGATCAATTTAGACCAACGAACGATCTGATATAATGTGGGACACACTGTAAGTTAAATTAATTAAAAATGTTCGTTTTTAGAAAGATTTCACCAATTAGAAACATATAATTAACTACAGGGTGTCCCAATAAACATGGGAATTCAGTGACGAATTCGATATTGTTTTTTTAAATAATTCTTTGATTTAGGATAGTGATACCTACTGAGAAAGTTGTAATCTGTAAGAGTTTCGTCTGCTATGTTTACAATTTGTTTGTTTATGTTTTGACTGCATACGGTTGTACTTAGTAAAACAAGAAAATTGCAGTATACAAAAAGAGTAAACTTGTCCGTATTTACTGTTCATCTTGCGGAGACACTATCGACAGAAATTTACAGTCTTTTACCCTTTTCATAAAATAAACTCTACCAGACATAATAATATTATGGCTTTTGAAATTAGGTATTACAATGCTAATTCATAACAAAGACGATATCTAATTCGTCACTGAATTCCCATGCTTTTTGGGACACCCTGTAATTCAACTTTGTAGCACAACTATTAGCCTACTCTACCGCTTGAAGATGTTTATCTATGTATAATCTTTGAATTAGCTTGGAAAGATTACAATATGATAATGCAGGGTGTCCCACGAAACATGACAGTTGGTGAATAATTTAAAATGTCTTCTTCCATTATTACTTTAGTTGTTTAATACAAAAGAACATTGTAAGAATATTCAATGTATTATGGTATTATATATATTATGTACAGGGTGTCCCAATAAACATGGGAATTCAGTGACGAATTCGATATCGTCTTCATAAATAATTCTTTGATTTAGGATAGTGATACCTACTGAGAAAGCTGTAATCTGTAAGAGTTTCGTCTGCTATGTTTACATTTTTTGTTTATTTTTTGATGCATACGGTTGTAAAACAAGAAAATTTCAGTATACATTAACAGAGTCCGTCTTCACTGTTCATCTTGCGGAGACATTATAGACACATCTTTACAGTCTTTTACCCTTTTCATAAAATAAACTCAAGCAGACATAATAATATTATGGCTTTTGAAATTAGGTATTACAATACTAATTCATAACAAAGACGATATCGCTTTCGTCACTGAATTCCCATGTTTTTTGGGACACCCTGTATGATAATAAAATTGGTTTCAAATTAAACACATTTTAGTAAAAGATTTTATTGAATAAAAAAATATGCAAAAAAAACTTTAATATTTATTACAGTTTAGGGAAAAAGACTTTCCGAATTATTTAGCAACTGTCATGTTTCGTGTGACACCCTGTATGATATGGGACGCCATGTGTTTGTCGTCTTACTCTCACCAAACCTCTCAAGAAAAAGTTGGTGTGAGGTTTCGTGGCAGAAAATTGAAAAAAATATGTTGTTTTATAAGTATTCTCCATGGTAATTAATTTTAAAGTTCAGTAGTCCTTCTGATAGAAAATAATATTTCATTTGATCTAAGAAATTATAAATTCTCCGGTACAGCACGTACTAAAACTTTACAGTTTATATGCACTCAGTTGTACCCAAAGAGAATAGAATATATATTAGAGGTGAATTTACTACAGTGAAACCCTTAATAACGAATACATCGGAAGAATTTATCAAATGTCGTCTTGACAATTTTTCAATGAGTTTTATACTATATTACGTAAATTTCA